CGTCTGGCGTCCGCACACCGGCGCGATCGCAAGCCAGCGGCCTGCCACGGGGCGGTTGCAGCGCCAACATTGCTGTCATCGTCATTCCCTATGCTGTTCCACCGCCCGTCTTGCCCCTGCTTCGTCGCCAAGCTGCATGCAATTTTGAAACACCAGACGTCTCGGACGTGCGCTACCCACTCCATATGCTGCGCCGCGATGCCAGCACCCTTGGGGTGCCTTGCAGGCCATCCTTGTTCCTGAATCCACAACCACGCCTAACGCCCTGCATGCATGCACACCCCCCCGCCATTCTTCCGGCCGCATACGACCCTAATGAGGCGCCCCCTACACCCTGCACCCCCCCCCTCTGCGCAGGTCATCGCGCTCTGCGCGGCGCCCTTCCTTCTGCAGCACCCCAAGGTGGCGGAGCTCTTCCCCGCCGACGCGATCGAGCGCGCCAAGAAGCTGCTCGGCGCCTTCAGCGGCGGCATCGGCGCCTACCAGGACAGCCGCGGCAACTTCCTGGTGCGCCAGGAGGTGGCCGACTTTATCAAGGCCCGCGACGGCCACGCCGCCGACCCCAACGTGAGGAAGCTGGCGGGAAGCTGGTGCTCCTGTGTGCTGTGTGGGCGGCGCACGGGGGCGGCAGGGGCACTGGCACGTGGGACGGCGGGGATGGGGCCGCAGTGGGGTCGCTGGTTGGTGCCGGGGTGGGGTATCAGCCTGGGCTGCTGGAATGTTGTGCATGTTAGCATGTGCTCAACCATGCTCGCCAGCACGTGCACAATATGCAAGGCAGCAGCCGCGGGTGTGTGTGCTGCGGATGGCAGCGGGTGCGCCCTGGCGGCTGCACCCCTTCGCACGAGGGTTGACTGCTGTGTCGCGCGAAGCTCCTGGAAACGATCCACGGGCACGTGCGCCAAGGCGTGTTCGTCCTCCACCACACTCAAGCTCATCCCCATGCCTAATCCCGTCGCGTGCAAAACGCACGCACACGCACATGGACGCAAGAGCGCGCTCTCCTAAACAAACCTATGCACGCACACGCACACGCGCACATGCATTTGACCCCCCATCGCGCTCCCCCTTTGTCTCGCAGAGCATCTTCCTGACCGATGGCGCGAGCGTGGCTGTGCGCATGTGCCTCAACGCCGCCATCCGCGGCCCCCAGGATGGCATCCTGGTGCCCATCCCGCAGTACCCCCTGTACAGCGCATCCATCCAGCTGTACGGTGCGATGGGTGCCCGATTAGGAGGGTTGCGGCGGTGTCGGTCGGACGCACAGGGCGTGTAACGGGCGCCAGGGACCGGCTGCGGCAGGCGCGCCCGCCCGGACGACCGAGGTCGCCTGCGGCACGCAGGCGGGCCCCAGCAGGCTCGCTGGCCGGCGGCGGAGGCTGCTGGCAGGCACTCAGGCGCCCACGGATCTCAGCACGCCGGCCGGCGCGGACCCGCTGGGCCGTGGTTGCGCCAGGCTGCGGCCGGCCAGTGAAAACTCGCAGCAGCCCCGCGCGGCCCGCGCAGAGAGGCGGCCCC